CCCTTCAAAGAGGATCACAGTTCCTCGTCAACAAGTGAACAAGACTTGATGGAGAACGAGTGCATCCCAATAACAGAATCAGGCTTCAGAACATGGATAATAAGAAACTTCTGTGAGTTAAAAGAACATGTTGTAGCCCAATGTAAAGAAACTAAGAACTTTGAAAAAAGGTTTGATGAAATCCTAATGAGAATAGACAACTTAGGAATATAAGTGAATTAATGGAACTGAAGAATACAAGGCAGAAACTCTGAGAAGTATGCACAGGTTTAAACACTCGAATTGTTGAAGCAGAAGAAAGGATATCAGAGGTCGAAGTCCAACTTAATGATATAAAATGAGAAGACAAGATTAGAGAATAAAGGATAAAAAGGAATGAGCAAAGTCTCCAAGAAATGTGGGACTATATGAAAGACTAAATTTACGTTTGATAGGTGTACCTGAGTGTGACAGAGAGAATGAATCCAAGCTGGAAAATATTCTTCAGGATATTATTCAGGAAAATTTTCCTAAACTAGCAAAGCAGGACAATATTCAACCCCATGTAATACAGAGAACACCACAAAGATATTCCTGAAGAAGAGCAACCCCAAGGCACGTAATTGTTAGATTCACCAGGGTTGAAACGAAGGAGAAAATACTAAGGGCAGCCAGAGAGAAAGGTCAGGTTAATTACAAAGGGAAGCCTATCAGACTTACAGCAGATCTCTCAGCAGAAACTCTACAAGCCAGAAGAGAGTGGGGGCCAATATTCAACATCCTTAAAGAACAGAACTTTCAACCCAGAATTTCATATTCAGCCAAACTAAGCTTCACAACTGAAGGAAAAATAAAATCTTTTATGAACAAGCAAGTACTCAGAGATTTTATTACCACCAGGCCTGCTTTACAAGGGCTTCTGAAAAAAGCATTCCACATAGAAAGAAACAATCAGTATTAGCCTTTCTAAAAATATACCAAAAAGTAAAGAGCATCAACATAAAGAAGAATTTACATCAACGAATGGATAAAACAGCCAGTTAACATCAAATGGCAGTAATCCTAAATTTAAATTGACTAAATCTCCCAATCAAAAGATACAGCCAAAACCCAACGGCATGTTACATCCAGACCCATTTCACATGCAAGGATACACAAAGACTCAAAACAAAGGGATGGAGAAAGATTTACCAACCAAATGGAGAGCAAAAATAAATAAATAAATAAAAAAGCAGGAGTTGCAATTTTCGTAACTGATAAAATAGATTTTAAAGCAACAAAGATATAGTGGTAAAAGGATCAATGCAACAACAAGAGCTAATGATCCTAACACCCAGATACATAGAGACTTAGACTCAATGAGACAGAAAATTAATAAGGATATCCAGGACTCGAGCTCAGATCCGGAACAAGTAAACTCAATAAATATTTATAGAGCTCTCCACTTTAAATACACAAAATATACATTCTTGTCAATACCATATCACATCTACTCATAGGTTTAAATGAAACACTGATTGGCCATTATTAATACCCATTTTTTTAGAATAAAGCAACATTTCTGTTCTCTCTCCCTCTTTCTCTTCCTCTTTCTTCCTCTCCTTCACTCCTTTTTGTTTCTTTCCTTCTCTAAAAAAAAAAGAATTTAGTATTCAGAAACTAACTCAGAACTGCACAGCTTCATGGAAACTGAACAACTGGCTCTTGAGTGTTGACTGGATAAGCAACGAAATGAAGGCAGAAATAAAGATGTTTTTTGAAACCAACGATAACAAAGACACAATATACCAGAATCTCTGGGACATATTTAAAGCACTATCTAGAGGAAAATATGTAGCAATAAATGCTCAAATGAGAAGCAAGGAAAGACCTAAAATCAACACCCTGTTATCAAAAGAAAGAGCTAGAAGAGCAAGACCAAAAAAACTCAAAACCTAGCAGAAGACAAGAAATAACTAAGATGAGGGCAGAACTGAAAGAAATAGAGACACAAAAACCCCTTCAAAAAATGAATAAACCCAGGAGCTGGCTTTTCAAAAAGATCAACAAAATAGATAGATCACTACCCAGATTAATAAAAAAGAAAAGAGAGAATAATCAAATAGATGCAATAAAAACAATAAAGGGGATATCACCACAGACTCCACAGAAATACAAACCATCATCAGAGATTATTACAAACATCTCTATGCACATTAACTGGTAAACCTGGAAGCAATGGATAAATTCCTGGACACTTGCATCCTCCCGAGCCTAAACCAGAAAGAAGCCAAAACCCTGAATAGACCAATAACAAGGTCTGCAGTTGAGGCAGCAATTAGGAGCCTACCACTCTAAAAAGCCGAGGTCCAGATGGGTTCACAGCCGAATTCTACCAGACATACATAGAAGAGCCAGTACCATTCCTTCTGAAACTATTCCAAACAATCTAAAAGGAGGGAATCCTTCCCAAATCATGTTATGAGACCAACATCATCCTGATACCAAAATCTGGCAGAGACTTAACTAAAAAAGAAAACTTCAGGCCAATATTCATGATGAACATAGATGCAAAAATCTTCAATAAAACACTGGCAAACCGATTGCAACAGCACATCAAAAAGCTTATCCACCATGATTAAGTAGGCTTGATCCCAGGGATGCAAGGTGGGTTCAACATATGCAAGTTTATAAACATAATCCACCACATAAACAGAACCAAATACAAAAACCACATGATTATCTCAATTGATTCAGAGAAGGCCTTTGACAAAATTCAGCAGCCCTTTATGCTAAAAACCCTCAATAAACTAGGTATTGATGGAACATATCTCAAAATAATAAAAGCTATTTATGACAAACCAACAGCCAATATCATACTGAATGGGCAAAAACTGGAAGCATTCCCTTTAAAATCTGGCACTAGACAAAGATTCCCTCTCTCACCACTCATATTCAATATAGTATTGGAAGCTCTAGCCAGAGCAATCAGGTAAGAAAAAGAAATAAAGGGTATTCAAATAGGAAAGGAGGATGTCAAATTGTCTCTGTTTGCAGATGACATGATAGTATATCTAGAAGACCCCATCATCTCAGCCCAAAATCTCCTGAAACTGGTAAGCAACTTCAGCAAAGTCTTGGGATACAAAATCAATGTGCAAAAATCACAGGCATTTTTATACACCAATAACAGAATTAAAGAGAGCCAAATGAAGACTGAACTGCTATTCACAACTGCTACAAAGAGAATAAATACCTAGGAATATAACTAACAAGGAATGTAAAGGACCTCTTCAAGGAGAACTACAAACCACTGCTCAATGAAATAAGAGAGGACACAAACAGATGGAGAAACATTCCATGTTCATGGTTAGGAAGAATCAATATCGTGAAAATGGCCATACTGCCCAAAGTAATTTACAGATTCAACACTATCCCCATCAAGCTACCAATGACCTTTTTCACAGAACTGGAAAAAACCACCTTAAAATTCCTATGGAACAAAAAGAGAGCCCATATAGCCAAGTCAATTCTAAGCAAAACAAACAAGCAAGCAAACAAAAACAAGCTGGAGGCATTATACTACTGGACTTCAAACTATACTACAAGACTACATTAATCAAAACAGCATGGTACTGCTACCAAAACATACATATAGACCAATGGAACAGAACAGAGGCCTCAGAGGCAACACCACACATCTACAACCATTCTATCTTTGACAAACCTGACAAAAGCAAGCAATGGGGAAAGGAGTTCCTGTTTAACAAATGGTGTTGGGAAAACTGGCTAGCCATGTGCAGAAAGCAGAAATTGGACCCCTTCCTGGTACCTTACACTAAAATTAACTCCAGATGGATTAAAGACTTAAACATAAGACCTAACACCACAAAAACCCTACAAGAAAATCTAGGCAAAACCATTAAGGACATAGGAGTAGGCAAGGACTTCATGACAAAAACAACAAAAGCATTGGCAACAAAAGCCAAAATAGACAAGTGGGACCTAATCAAACTCCACAGCTTCTGCACAGCAAAAGAAACAGTCATTAGAGTGAATCGCCAACCAACAGAATGGGAAAAAATTTTTGCAATCTACCCATCTGACAAAGGACTGATATCCAGAATCTACAGAGAACTAAAACAGATTTACAAGAAAAAAACAAGCCCGTTCAAAAGTGGGCAAAGGACATGAGCAGACACTTTACGAAAGAAGACATACATGAGGCCAAAAAACATATCAAAAAATGTTAACCATCACTGGTCATTAGAAAAATGCAAATCAAAGCTACATTGAGATACCATCTCACGCCTGTTAGAATGGTGATCATTAAAAAATCTGGAGACAACAGATGCTGGAGAGGATGTGGAGAAATAGGAACACTTTTACACTGTTGGTGGGAGTGTAATTTAATTCAGCCATTGTGGAAGAAAGTGTGGTGATTCCTCAGGGACCTAGACATAGAAATTTTATCTGACCCAGCAATCCCATTACTGAGTATATAGTCAAATAATTATAAATCTTTTTACGGTAAGGACATGGGCACATGAATGTTCGCTGTAGCACAGTTTACAATAGCAAAGACCTGGAACCAACCCAAATGCCCATCGATGAGAGACTGGACAGGGAAAATGTGGCACATAGACACCATGGAATACTATGCAGCCATCAAAAACGATGAGTTCGTGTCCTTTGTAGGGACATGGGTGAACCTGGAAACCATCATTCTCAGCAAACTGACACAAGAAAAAAAAACCAAACACTGCATATTCTCACTTATAGGTGGGTGTTGAACAATGAGAACACATGGACACAGGGAGGGGAGCATCACATACTGTGGTCTGTCGGGGGGAATTAGGGGAAGGATGGTGGGGGATAGGGAGTTGGGGAGAGACAGCATGGGGAGAAATGCCAGATATAGGTGATGGGGAAGAAGGCAGCACATCACATTGCCATGTGTGTACCTATGCAACAATCTTGCATGTTCCTCACTTGTACCCCAGAACCTAAAATGCAATAAAAAGAATTGAAAAGACTCGGTGCTGCCACCACCTCTCGGGAGGAGAGGAAGTGGGAGAGGAGCCCACGTAACATGTCATCCAAGACCTCCAGCCATGTGGTCTCAAGGAGTGTAAGATGTTTGCCTCTGCCAAGCTCGCCTGCACCCCCACTCTGATTCGAGCTGGATTCAGAGTTGCATACAGACCAATTTCCGCATCAGTGTTATCTCGACCAGAGACTAGGAATGGAGAGGGCTCTACGGTATTTAATGGGGCCCAGAATGGTGTATCTCAGCTAATCCAAAGGGAGTTTCAGACCAGTGCAATCAGTAGAGACATTGATACTGCTGCCAAATTTATTGGTGTGGGTGCTGCAACAGTAGGAGTGGCTGGTTTTGGTGCTGGTATTGGAACAGTCTTTGGCAGCCTTATTATTGGTTATGCCAGAAACCCTTCGCTGAAGCAGCAGCTGTTCTCATATGCTATCCTGGGATTTGCCTTGTCTGAAGCTATGGGTCTCTCTTGTTTGATGGTTGCTTTCTTGATTTTGTTTGTCATGTAACAAATTACTGCTTGACATGTTGGCATTCATATTAATTATGGATGTAATTTTGTGTATCTTACTGTGACTCCAAAAACTGTAGTATTGGTGTCATGGAAATGTATATTGTTTCCAAAGTCATTTCATTAAAGATGAAAACTTATTTCTTCTGTGATTTGTATCTAACACTAAGTTTAGATAAGAAGAACCTGCATTCAGGCAGATGTTGTGCAATTCAAAGGAAGCTACAGCAGTTGCTCCACTGATGAAAAATATCCCAATGTAATTTTTATGGAAATTTTTTATATAGTGTTCTGCACACTGTAATTTGGGGCTTTTGTTTATTCATATAAAGGATGAATATTTGGTGTTTTAAGCTTCTATGAAATATTAAAGATAGTTAATACTAAAAAAAATTGAAAAGAAAAAAATAAAAGAAATTCTACAAGCCAGAAGAGAGTGTGGGCCAATATTCAACATCCTTAAAGAAAAGAACTTTTAACCCAGAATTTCATATCAAGTGAAAGTAAGTTTCATAAGTGAAGGGGAAATAAAATCCTTTATGGACAAGCAATTGCTGAGAGATTTCATCACCACCAGACTTGCCTTACAAGAGCTTCTGAAAGAAATATTACATAGGGAAAGAAACAACCAGTACTAGACGCTTCCAAAACGTACCAAATGGTAAAGACCAATAATGCAATGAATAAACTACGTCTGCTAATGGGCAAAACAACCAGCCAGTAACAAAACGACAGGATCGAATTCACACATAACGATATTAACATTAAATGTAGAGGCCTAAATGCCCCAATCAAAAGATGCAGACTGGCAAATTGTATAAAAAGTCAAGATTCATCAGTGTGCTGTATTCAGGAGACACATGTCATGTGCAAAGACACACATGGTCTCAAAATAAAGAGATGGAAAAAGATTTCCCAAGCAAATGGAGAGCCAAAAAAGCAGAAGTTGCAATCCTAGTCTCTATAAAAAGGACTTTAAATCAACAAAGATCAAAAGAGACAAGAAGGGCATTACATTATGGTAAAAGGATTAATACAACAGCAAGAGCAACAAGGATGCCCTCTCTCACCGTTCCTATCCAATATAGTACTGGAAGTTCTAGCCAGAGCAATCAGGCAAGAAAAAGAAATAAAGGGTATTCAAAGGGAAAAGAGGAAGTCCAAATGTCTCTATTTGCAGATGATGTGATTGTATGTTTAGAAGACCCCATCATCTCAGCCCAAAACCTCCTTAATCTGATAAGCAACTTCAGCCAAATCTCAGGATACAAAAGCAATATGCAGAAATCACAAGCAGTCCTATACACCAATAACAGACAGAGAACTAAATCATGAGTGAATTCCCATTCACAATTGCTACAAAGAGAATAAAATATCTAGAAATACAACTAACAAAGGATGTGAAGGACCTCTTCAAGGAGAACTACAAACCACTGATCAAGGAAATAAGGACACAAATGGATGGAAAAATATTCCATGCTCCTGGTTAGGAAGAAGCACTATCGTGAAAATGGCCATATTGCCCAAAGTAATTTATAGATTCAATGCTATCCCCATCAAGCTACCATTGACCTTCTTCACAGAACTGGAAAAAACCACTTTAAACTTCATATGGAACCAAAACAGAGCCCACATAGCCAAGACAATCCTAAGCAAAAAGAACAAAGCTGGAGGCATCACGCTACATGAATTTGAACTATACTACAAGGCTACAGTAATCAAAACAGCATGGTACTGGTACCACAACAGAGATATAGAACAATGAAACAGAACAGAGGCCTCAGAAGTAATATCACACATCTACAACAATCTGATCTTTGACAAACCCAACAAAAACAAGCAATGGGGAAAGGATTCCTTGTATAATAAATGATGTTGGGAGAACTGGCTAGCCATGTGCAGAAAGCTGAAACTGGACCCCTTCCTTACAACTTACACTAAAATTAACTCCAGTTGGATTAAAGTTTTAAACATAACACCTAACACCATAAAAACTCTAGAAAAAAACCTAGACAAAACCATTCAGGACATAGGCATAGGCAAGGACTTCATGACTAAAACACCAAAAGTAATGACAACAAAAGTCATAATAGAAAAATGGGATCTAATTAAATAGCAAAAGAAATAATCATCAGAGTGAATCAGCAACCAACAACAGGAAAAAATGTTTGCCATCTACCATCTGACAAAAGGCTAATATCCAGACTCTACATAGAACTAAAGCAGATTTACAAGAAAAAACAAACCAATTCAAAAGTGGGAAAAAGATATGAACTGGTACTTTTCAAAAGAGGACTTTTATAGGCCAACAAACATACGAAAAAATGCTCATCATCACTGGTAATTAGAGAAATGCAAACAAGAACCACATTGAGATACCATCTCCTGCCAGTTGGAATGGCGATCATCAAAAAATCTGGAGACAACAGTTTCTGGAGAGAATGTAAAGAAATAGGAACGTTTCTACACTGTTGATGGGAGTGTAAATTAGTTCAACCATTGTGGAAGACAGTGTGGTGATTCCTCAAGGATCTAGAATCAATACCATTTGACCCAGTAATCCCATTACTGGATATATACTCAAAGGATTATAAATTGTTCTGTTACAAAGACACACGCACACGTATGTTCATTGTGGCACTGTTTACAATATTAAAGACATGGATGCAACCCAAATGCCCATCAATGATAGACTGTAGAAAGAAAATATGGCACATATACATCAAGGAATACTATGCAGCCATAAAAAGGATGAGTTCATGTCCTTTGAAGGGACATGGATGGATCTGGAAACCATCACTCTGAGCAAACTGACACAAGAACAGAGAACCAAACACCACATGTTCTCACTTATAGGTGGGCATTGAACAATGAGAGCACATGGGCACAGGGAGGGGAATATCACACACTGGGGTCTGTTGGGAGTGGGGGGTAGGGGAGGGACAGCAGGGGGTGGGGAGGTTTTGAAAGGATAACATTGGGAGAAATGCCTGATGTAAGTGATGGGGTAATGGAGACAGCAAACCTCCATGGCATGTGTGTACCTATGCAACAATCCTGCGGTATCTGCACATGTACCCCAGAACTTAAAGTACAAACCAAAACAAACAAAACAACTGTTAGTAAGGCATGATTAGCTAGTATTGAAACTTTTCAATTTAAGCAATATTATACCTCAAGTGTTATCTGTGTTCTAATATTATCCACCAACTCCTGCTTGCCTAAAAGTTTCCTCATCAAGCCACATTCAGGCAGTACTATCCACTTAGTGGGAGCCTTCTGAATTGTAGGCATAATGCCTAGAAAGAACTAATCAACATTGGGAGTGTTGGGCTTGGAAAACCCAAATGTATAATGGAATAGCAAATGTTGTGGCTAAAGGAAACTTATGATTTGTCATTCAAACCAGGACAAGTTGACAGTAAATGGACTACTATTATAACCATGCCAGGAGAATAGGTATACACTAGTATTATCCAGAGAATGTCTTAATCATAGTATTTTGCAAGTGACTACCAATGAATGTCTAACCAATTCCTCAAGTTAAAGTGGCTAACAGTTTAAGAACTATCTCTTTCCTGAAAGAGTTACATTTTCATATGGAGTTATGGGAGACCAAAGAGCCATTAAGTTCTAAAATTACAAAGTTGTGACAATGGAATTTATTTATTTAATTGTTCTTCTTCTTTATATTTTTCTACTAGTTATTGGGGTACAGGTGGTATTTGGTTACATGAGTAAGTTCTTTAGTGGTGACTTGTGAGATTTGGTTCACATATCACCCAAGCAGTATACATTGCACTATATTTGTAGTCTTTTATCCCTTGCCCCTGCCCACCTTTCCTTCCATTATGTCCCAAAGTCCATTATATCTTATCAGTGAGGGCATACAATGTTTGGTTTTCCATTCCTGAGTTACTTCACTTAGAATAAGTCTCCAATCTCATCCAGGTCCCTGAAAATGCTGTTAATTCATAATTCATTCCTTTATATGGCTGCATAGTATTCATATATATATATCATATCTCACACACACACACACACACACACACACACACACACACACACACACACTATATATATATCACAGTTTCTTTATCCACTTGGAGATTGATGAACATTTAAGTTGGTCCCATAATTTTGCAATTGTAATTGTGCTGCTATAAACATGAATGTGCAAGTATCTTTTTCAAATAATGATTGATTTTCCTTTGGGTAGATACCCAGTACTGAGATTGTGGGATCAAATGGTAGTTCTACTTTTGGTCCTCTAAGGAATCTCCACACTGTTTTCCCTAGTGGTTTTCCCCATCTACATTCCTACCAGCAGTGTAGAAGTTTCCTGATCACTGCATCCATGCCAACATCTACTGGTATTTGACTTTTTGATTATAACCATCCTTGCTGGAGTAAGGGAGTATTGCATTGAGGTTTTGATTTACATTTCCCTGGTCATTAGTATATCTTTTTTTTTTTTCTTCTTGAGATGGAGTTTTGCTCTGTTACCCAGGCTGGAGTGCAGTGGCATCATCTCGGCTTACTGCAACCTCTGCCTCCTGGGTTCAAGTAATTCTCCTGACTCAGCTTCCCAAGTAGCTGGGACTACAGGTGGCTGCCACCACTCCTGGCTAATTTTTGTATTTTTAGTAGAGACAGGGTTTCATCACATCGGCCAGAATGGTCTCAATCTCTTGACCTTGTGATCTGCCTGTCTCAGCCTCCAAAGTTCTGGGATTACTGACATGAGCCACTGTGCCTGGCCTTGTATATCTTCTTTTGAGAATTGTCTATTCATGTCCTTAGCCCACTTTTTTATGGGATTCTTTGTTTTTTTTTTTTTCTGACTTTTTTGAGTATGTTGTAGATTTTGGATATTAGTCCTTTGTCAGATGTATAGTTTGTGAATATTTTCTCTCATTCTGTGGGTTGTCTGTTTACTCTGCTGATTGTTCCTTTTGCTGTGCAAAAGCTCTTTAGTTTAATTAGGTTCCAGCTATTTATCTTTGTTTTTATTGCATTTGCTTTTGGGTTCTTGATCATGAAATCCTTGCCTTAGCCAATGTCTAGAAGAGTTTTACCAATGTTATCTTCTAGAATTTTTAAAGTTTCAGGTCTTAGGTTTAAGTCCTTAATCCATCT